CTTTGCGTTCTGCAGCTCACCGACGCACCAGCTCACGCGCGCGTCGGGACGGACCTCGACATGGACATCGAGTACTTGAGCGACGCGTCGCAGCTGCCGAGCTTTGATGTGCCGATCGTGGATGGCGCGGCGCTGGACTGTCCTGTGCTGGTGCCGTCGGTGGCTGCGGCGTCGGGTCAGACGTTGTTGCAGACGTCGACGTCAATCTTGAAGGCGGCGACGGGTGTGCCGCGGGTGCTCGGTCTCGGGTCGTCGTCGTGCGGGTGTTCGCTCGAGAAGATGAAACCGTGTCTGTTTGTTCATGGTGTTGGCAACCCGTTCGTTCGCCCACTGACCGACTCGTGGGCCTTCTACTGGGGGTCTATCCAAGACCATGCGCCGTGCTGCTCGTCGACCAAGTTCGTGCATCTGCAAACGTGGACGCGAGGCTGGGACAACGACGACATCCAGAACGAGTTTTGCGAAGCCGCGCTTAGCGTGAGCAAGTCGACGACCAAGACCATTGGGGATCTCATTCTCGTGACGCATTCGATGGCCAACCTCATCACCGGCAGCGCCGTCGCCAACGGCAAGTGCAACCTCTCCAACAAGGTCACGTGGGTGTCGATCGCGGGTCCAATGCAAGGCAGCTTGTCGGGCAACCTGCTCGAACAAAAGTGCAAACAGGGTGGCTGGAACCTCCCGCTCAAGGGTCTCTTGGAGATCGCGACACTCTGCCCGATCACGGACGCCTTCCTCAAGCTGAAGCACGAGAAAACCGTGTCGTCGGCGATCCAAGCCAAGTTTCTCGCGGCGCAGGCTGTCCGCAAGCAGTACGCGTCGGTGCTCATGTGTGGCAGCGATTCGTTTGGTCTCACAACTATCTTTGGTCCGGTCATGGATCTTGTGAATACGCTGACAAAGCACGGCGACACGAACGACGGTGTGGTGGCGTTTGAGAGCTGTCGTGTCGGTTTCGAAGCCAGCTCGTTCTCGACCAACTACGCCGACGGTGGCAACTACCTCGCGAGCGTCAACCATTTCGACAACTCGTTCCGCAACGGCGATGGGTGGTGGGGCGCGGACCGCAAGCCGCAAAAGTGGTTCGAGTGCGCGTTGTAAGTTTTCCGAGTTTTTATTTGTTTGTGTCAGGGTAATGATTCTGCACCGTTGCTTTTTAAGTGTTGAGTTTGTTGTGGATCTCTTGTTTCTGTTTCGGATGGTAGACTGGCCGGTGTGCTTAGTGTTAGAGTCGCAGGATCCTACTGACTGTACACTTGATTGCTGTTCTTGGAGCTGGAATGACCGTGCAGTGACGTATTCACTGCAGTGTGGGCTGGGTACATGGATCTGGACGTCGTTTTTTCTGTTCATTGAACGCGATAGCAAACGAGTAAAATGTGAGCTTACCTAAATGATCATACAAAGCTCGTGCAACTGGTTTGTAGGCATTTATTCCCATCAACACGCAACAGACCAGAGATCTCGTGCGACCTACGCAACTACAGTAGCCACACTTGTGGGGTGGAAATTCATACTAGTGGGTCTGCAGTTGTATGTCATTGTTCTCTCCAGCAGTACTGTTAGTCTTGTCGTGTGAGTGTTTGTGGTCCGCCCACATCTCCATCTGATCGGCCAAGAAAAAAGAATATCCTTTTGCGATAGACTAATGCTTCGCGAGTAGCCGTCGCGCGCCTGTCTGGGCACGCCAACCGAAACGACAACACGGCGCCGTCACGCACGCGACTCGACGTAGACCTTGAAGATGTCTTTGGCTGCCCCTGGAAGACCTATGCACCTAGGTAAGTAGCTACTCTTCCTTGAACATGACTCGTGGCTACTGCAATCGAAGACGCAAACGCCGCGACAGGCGCCTACCCACGACGTTCGCGTGCCTCATCATCGCCCTGATTCGGACGCGGAATCGAGTGCGCTTGGTTTCATCGAGGACTCTATTCGGCACGACGCAGTCTGATCCGATCATTGTATGGTTCCGTACCGCACACAACGTGCGGTCCCGATCCAGTTTCTTCATTTTCCAATTTGCCTCGGATCGCATTGTGCTTGCATGGGTCCTACAAGCTCGCCGATTTTGTCGCCGGTGGATGCTGTCTTCATGGATGCAGCAGCCCCGCGCCGCCGGACAGCTCCGTGGCGCTTTGTCGTCGGCGCCGTTGCCGTCGTCGGCGCCATTTGCATCACGGTGGCCGCCATTGCCGTGCACACGACCAAGGTTGCCAACCATGCGGCGGACATTGTGACGCAGATCCAGCAAAGCCCTGGCCTCCGTGTGACAGTGACGGCCAAGCGTCCAAGCATGGCCTTCCACGGGCACATGAGCACCGATATTTACATCGTGCCGCATACTCGTCGTACGACGTCGGCACTGAGCTTTGACGCTTACATGAGCCTTTCTGGCGCCGAGACGACGGACACGTACCTCCTCTTGGACAACCGCGCCTACACGTCGTCCGTCGCCGCGAACGGCACGCTGATCTCGTCGGCGTGCGTGACATCTGGGCTTCCGCCAGTACAGCTCTTGCAGTCCAGCCTCGCCGATGCGACGCGCTTGGACGCCGTCGTCGGCACCGACACGACATGCGACGGCGACTGGTTGCAACTAACGTTTGCGGGCGAGGCGTTTGTTTTTTGCAACGGCGCCAACCACCGCGTGACGCACGCGTCCGGTGTCGACATTGACTTGAGCATCGAGTACCTCGCCGATCCGTCCTTGCTGCCCGAGTTTACGATCCCCGTCGGAGTCAACTCGACGACGGTGCTCGAATGCCCTATTGTCGTGAGTTCTGCGACGACATCGGCGGCCAGCGCAAGCATGCTCTCGACGGCGTCGCAGGTGTGGACCGCTGCGACGGGGGCACCCCGTGTTGCGACGATTGAGAGTGCGTCGTGCGGCTGCAAGATGGCCAAAAAGCCGTGCCTTTTTGTCCACGGTGCCGGCAACTACTTTAACGCGTCGCTCTCGGACATCTTTCTCTTTGAGTGGGGTCTCGTTCACTTTCACGCTCCGTGCTGCTCGTCAATCAAGTTTGCGCACTTTGAAACGTGGTTCCGTGGTTGGGAAGAAGAGTCTCTGCATGACCAGTTTTGCGACGCCGCGCTTCATGTCTCCAAGGCAAAGCCCAACTCCACGTCGATCGACAACCTACTTCTCGTGACCTTCTCGATGGGCAACCTCGTGGCCTCGGGGGCCGTCGCGAGCGGCAAGTGTTCGTTTGGACGCGACTTGACGTGGGTCTCGATCGCGGGCCCGATGCATGGCAGCAAGACGGCCAACGCCCTCGAGCAAAAGTGCAACGCCAACAGCGGCTGGGACGTACCGATCAAGTGGCTTTTCAGCGCCGTGACGCTGTGCCCGATCACCAATACATTTCGCAACCTCCAGCACAAGTCATCGCTGCCACCGGCCTTGCAGGCCAAGTACGACGCGGCCCAAGCCGTCCGCCGCGCGCATGCGACCAAGCTCATTTGCGGCACGAGCCCCAAGGGCCTCACCACCATATTCTCGGGCTTTATGCAATGGGCAAGCGACCAGTCCAACCATGGTGACGTCAGCGACGGCCTCGTCGCGTTTGAGAGCTGCAGCGATGGCTTTGGCGGCTTTAGCACGAATTATGCTGACGGCGCCAACTACAAGCCTGCCGTGAACCACCTCGACGCAAGCTTTCGCAGCGGTGACGGTTGGTGGGGTGCCGATCGCAAGCCGCAAAAATGGTTCGAGTGCGCCTTGTAGTGGAAGCACTCGTTGTGTATTCGTATGGTTTACCGTGGTTGAAATATGTGTCGTCATTCGAGTCTACTTGTGAGATCATTTTAGCGAAATAGCTGAAATTATCGATTCAGCGTGGCACTTAGCTTTGAAATGTATATGGCAATTCAATTGCGTTGGTGCTTGGATCTTGAAAGTTGACGAATAAAAGATGTCAAGGTTGGTGCGTATTTCCAAGGTATTATTTCCTTGGTACATTCATTTCATAAGAGTCCTATCAGATTCCTTGAGCCACCCACGTAAAACCAAGAGTACTTGATTGCGCTACTCCGCGCTGCTGGGGGCGTAGGAACGCAATTCGTGAGGACTCCAATACGTACGTTCACCGGATCCATAGCAAGCACTGTCTTTGGACCGATGCTCCCGTATCCAGTACAAAGATACTAGTCACAGCAACTGCTCGTCGCCAGTAGCTAGTATATCAGATACACTTGCGTACAAGAAACTTGACGATACCGGTGCGCTTTAGTAGCATCAAAGAAGGGATCTAGTCGGGTAGGATCTGTGGCGCAAGGTCGTCAAAGACAGTGGTATCAGTCGACCGCTTCTTCCCGAATGAATGACCTCCTTTCGACACGCAACCTTGGTAAGCAACCTTGGTAAACCATCCATCGCGCTAGCGGATTGCTCCCGCATCGCAACCTCAAGCAGGTGATCATCACTCGGTCGCCGATCGTACTCAGCTGCGCATTCTCAGCAGCAATACGTGATCCGCGCACATTAGATCGTTCCCATCTGATACCGGGTGACACCACGTGTTTGCTCAAATAGTTTCGCCTTGGTTCGATTTTCTAGTCGTATGTAGTTTTGTATGCGAGGCCACGTACGAACTGAAGTACATCGAGTAGCTTGGTGCAAAATCCGAGCAGGTTCTCGGAACCATGTCGATGCAAGCCGTGGTACACACAGTGGTCCACCCCGTCATCTACGGGTGCCTTGAGCTTCAATGGTCTTTCGGGCGTCGTCAAGCAGAGCGTACTTTTGCTCGCACTTGGAACTCACTTTTCGATTCGTCTCGCCGAGCAAGCACGATGACTGGACCGCCACCCACGCCAAACACGCTCACCGAGCCGCTCGCCGACGCACCCGTGCGCCGTTCCCGTACGTCAATGCGCCGCCTCGTTCCGATTTTCATGGTCCGAGACTTTTAGGGTTCTCGATCAAGTGGATCCTTGGCGTCGTCGGCGTCGTCGGTGCCGTCTGCGTCACAGTCGGCGCCCTCTACGTCTTCAATGCGCCCGAACCCAACCACGCCGGCGAAATTGTGACCCAGATCCAGCAGTCGCCCGGTCTCCGCGTCCAGATCCAAGCCAAGCGCTCGAGCATGGCGTTCAACGGCCAGACGTCGGCGACGGTCTATGTCATTCCGCGCGCCGGGTCAGGCTCCAACCTCAAGTTTGACGCGTTCTTGTCGCAACCGGGTCCGGACGTGACGGCCAACTACGTTCTCTTGAACGACCGCGCGTACTGGTCGACCATTCAAGGCAACACAACAACGGATGCGGGCTGCTTGGATGCCTCTCAATTTCCTCCCGTCCAGCTCGTACGCACAGCTTATGACTGCTGCAAAACTAATGAGCATGTGCTAGATGCAAGCGAGTCTCACCGACGCCATCGTTGTCGCCAACGTCAATGGCCAAACGGTCGACTGTCCGTCCGGAAAGCTTCTGCAACTGCAGTTTGCGGGCGAGGCATTTATCTTTTGCAACTCCGAGACCAACAAACTCACGAAGGCCGTGGGCACGGACCTCGACATGACGATCGAGTACCTCAGCGACCCGACGTTGCTGCCCGATTTTGACGTGCCGCAGGTGGTCGGCAAGGCACCGCTGGACTGCCCAGTTGTTGTGTCGGACGCTGCGGTGCGCAGTAGCGAGCGTCTCCGGACCGCGACGCCCGAGTTTTTTTGGTCGTCCGCGTCGTGCGGGTGCAAGGGCCCGAAGAAGCCGTGTTTGTTTGTCCACGGTGTTGGCGAAAAGTCGAGTGCGGCGCCAACATCAACGTACTCAGACTCGTGAGGCGACGTCCAGAAGCACGCACCGTGCTGCTCGAGCGTCAAGTTTGCCCACTACGAGTCCGTGAAGCGGGCGTGGAACAACCCGTCGACGCAAACTGAGTTTTGCGACACGGCGCTCAAGGTCGGCTCCTCGGGTGGCAAGACGATCGACAACATGATCTTGGTGACCTTCTCGATGGGCAACCTCGTCGCGTCCGGCGCGGTCGCGACCGGCAAGTGCAGCATCGGCAAAGGCGTCACGTGGGTCTCGATCGGCGGCCCGATGCAGGGTAGCAAGGCAGCCAATCTTCTTGAACAAAAATGTGCTGGCAACGGCTGGGACATTGTGCTCAAGGGCATCCTCGGTCTCATTGGCTACTGCCCCGCGACGCCCGCGTACCTCAACATGCGCCACCAGAACACGGCGAACGCGGCGCTTGTCAGCGACTACCAAGCGGCTCAACGCGTGCGTCAGCAGTACGTGACCAAGGTCCTCTGCGGCGTCAACTCGTTTGGCTTGGTGTCAACGGACGCGATTGCGCTCTCGGTCGTTGGCGCTCTTGTCAAGCACGACACCCAACACGACGGCGTCGTGGACTTTAACAGTTGCAGCGTCGGCATCGGCGGGTTCCAAACAAGCGCCAGCTCGAGTGCCAACTACAAGGCGTCGGTAAACCACCTCGACACGTCGTTCCGCCACGGCGACGGCTGGTGGGGTGCCGACCGCAAGCCGCTCAAGTGGTTCGAGTGTGCGCTGTAATGTTGTATCGTCTCAAGGCCAGGTAGCATTTGGTGACGCTTGTCTACCTGAAGCAATAACACACAATGATTTGTTTTCCATTTGGGTTTTGTTCCCGAACGCCAAAAACTATCAGAGTTTAGGGATGTCGTTCAAGTCCGGTTTCAATGACGCCGACACGTACTATACTAGTAGCGCTTGCTCATTTACATATGTTAGAAAGCAACTACTAATTGCTTTCATGTATTCAACATGCGGCTTTGGGTGCACAAAATCACGCCTTGCCTATGGACCGCTGCGTTGCTACGACATGTATTGTCGAAATAGAAAGGCCAGCGAGGTACATACCGGTAGTTGACTTTCGATACCCATGAGTGAAAAAGGCGTATTGCGTGTATTACCACCCCAGCCTCGGGGATGCGGGTTGTTTGACGGGAGCCGAAATCTAAAATGAAAGTGGTTTCGCGACTCCGCTCTCGAAAAGATTGCTTCGGCTCCTTGTGTCGCAAAGCACCCCGTTGCAAGAAGTTTGGAGCAAACGATTTGTGCTACGCGGTGGCACGGTGGTAGTACATATGTAAAAGAGAAAGAGTATACAACAGTGGTACTCGAGAAACGACGTCCTACTTGGTGGATGGGACAAACCTGGCTGCTTGGCGTTATCTAGGCGCTTCGTGGGATCTTGCAAAGGAAGAGGGTCTCGGCTGGGCGGATTGGCTGAACGGCTAGACTAACGGCCGTACGACGTGGCGACGGACGACGTGCCGATGTACCGAAGGTCCAGGCTTTCCAGCCAATTAGCAGGTCCAACGTCTTGGGTCCATCAAGGACGACCATGGGGTCTCCAAACCAATGTTGACCTTGACAACACAATACCAACGTTAGCACGTACTAGTAGCGTTAGCGTCAAGGGCGCTTGCATCGAGGCCAATGGCCTCGCTTTCCACACCGCGGGGGCTGCTTGGGTCCCAAACCCCATACAATGTATCTAATGTAACTCACAAGCAAGTGAGTTTCTACGGCTGCAGCTACCACGCATTTGGCAACTCTTGGAGTGTGCTCACATAACTACGATCTTCCTGGAAGAGTGGTTGTAGGCTCTCCATGCATCTGGGTTGCCTACACGCTTCCCACCCACAGCGTCGCGCGTTGTTAACCACGTTCCGGCACCTCGGTCATCACTTTTCATTTCGCCTCCAACATGGCCAACGACACCGTCGCGACGCCGACACATCTCGACGATACGCTCCTCCCGACGCCACCGACGCCCAAGCGCTGGTCGCAACGGGTGCTCGGTGTCATTGCTGTCTGTGGCGTCGTGTGTGCCGCCGTCGGCGCCTACTACGTTTTTGGTCCCAAGCCCACTAACGACGCTATCAGCATCGTGACGCAGATCCAGCAGTCGCCCGGCCTCAAGGTCGTCGTGAACG